CTTCCAACGTCCCCCAAGGTCTCACCACTCAATGGAGATGGTGGGTCATGGAAGGGGGGTTGGTTTTGGGTGGCCTCGTTTGAGGTTTTGGTGAGTTTTGGTGGGTTTGGGTGGGTTTTTGGTGGTGGTGGACCTCGTTCCTCACCTGGGTCAAAGATCTCCAGTCCATGTTGGCGCTCCCAACGTAGAGGTGGACGCCGTCCACCAACCAGAGCTTGGTGTGGAGCACCCCGCCGGTGAGTTGCGGCAGGTCCACGGTGCGCACCGACGCCCCTGGGTGACCGGGGGGTCATCTCCAACCCAAAATCCACCCCTTTTCCCCAAAAAACCCCAAATTTGATGGTTTTGGGGTGGTTTTGACCATCACTCACCGCTCTCCTCCAGCGCCAGGAGGTCGTTGAGGGGCGACTTGGCCGAGGGGCGGCTGACGGCGACGCGGAGGGTGACACCGCGCCGGGGGAGTTGGAGAAGCTCCTCCAGGATTTGTTCCCCCTGAAGGAGAGAAGATGAGTTGAGGTTCCTCAAAAAAAAGAAAGAATTTTAAAAAAAACCCAACCAAAATAAACCAAAAAAAGAGCAGAAACGGTTAAAAAATGAGTGGAAAAGCAAGAAAATAGCAACCGGAACCGGGTTCAAGAACCACGTTGGCCAATGGTTGGTGACACAAAGACCTTCTGGAGGAGAAAGATCTGGGGGTTCCTGGGGGTCAACGAGGTGGCCATGAGTCAACGATGGGTCTTGTTGGCCAACGAGGTCAATGGGATGAGGAAGAGGGTGACCATCAGGTGGAGGAAGGTCATCTCCCCCCATCTGCTCTGCTCTGGGGGTTCCTGGGGGTCAAGGAGGTGGCCACCACCCAACGATGGGCCTTGTTGGCCAAGAAGACCAATGGGGGCAATGGGGTGGCCACCGGCCAACCATGGGCCTTGTTGGCCAAGAAGACCAACGGGCATCTTGGGGGGCATCAAGAAGAAGGTGACCATCAGGTGGAGGAAGGTCATCCCTCCAACTCTGGAGTCCTGGGGGTCAACGAGGTGGCCACCAGCCAACGATGGGCCTTGTTGGCCAACGAGACCAATGGGGGCAGCGAGGTGGCCACCAGCCAACCATGGGTCTTGTTGGCCAACGAGGTCAATGGGATGAGGAAGAGGGTGACCATCAGGTGGAGGAAGGTCATCTCCCCCCATCTGCTCTGCTCTGGGGGTTCCTGGGGGTCAAGGAGGTGGCCACCACCCAACGATGGGCCTTGTTGGCCAAGAAGACCAATGGGGGCAATGGGGTGGCCACCGGCCAACCATGGGCCTTGTTGGCCAAGAAGACCAACGGGCATCTTGGGGGGCATCAAGAAGAAGGTGACCATCAGGTGGAGGAAGGTCATCCCTCCAACTCTGGAGTCCTGGGGGTCAACGAGGTGGCCACCAGCCAACCATGGGCCTCGTTGGCCAAGAAGACCAATGGGGTCAACGGGGTGGCCACCGGCCAACCATGGGCCTTGTTGGCCAACGAGGTCAACGGGATGAGGAAGAGGGTGGCCATCAGGTGGAGGAAGGTCATCCCTCCAACTCTGCTCTGGAGTCCTGGGGGGCAACGAGGTGGCCACCAGCCAACCATGGGTCTTGTTGGCCAAGGATGGTGGGTCCCCGTGTCCTCGTTGGACACCT